AGGATGAGAATATTGCTCTCACACCTGAGAGCAATCTGCCTCACATACACCTTCCTGTCACTGGAAGCAGAGGTAAACAATGGTCCATCCAGCATACCCAGCAAACTCACGCCCCAAAACATGTTTCAGGGCAGACTTTTAAATTAGTTTGCTGTTCACCTTGCCTTTTGTCAATGGAAAAATATATGCAACAATGAAGCCAGTTTTGTCATCCCATTTTTAATTTTTAAAGGTTTTGTTGGCTCTAGTGGCCTTTATTTGACAGCTGTCAGTCAGTGAAGCGGGTTGTGAGAGAAACTGAAAACATGCGGCAAATGAAATCTGACCGGGACTCGAACCTGTGGTGACCGCGTGGAGGACTAAGACCTTCATATATGGGCTGAACGTCTTACCCTTGCACCGGGCTCCCATTTTAAATTTTATTCTCCTGTGCTCTCAGTTCAACTTTTGTTTTGTTTTTTTCCGAGTGAGGAATGTTCCAACTTTATTGAAAATAAGAATTAAATCATATGATCATCACATAACACATTAATTTAACTAAATCCTTTTATGTCAATCTCCATCCATGAAATGTGCACTAAATTTAGAGAACAAAGCAGACAAATGAAACACATCTATAGAACATGACGCTCCTTTTTCAAAAGCTTTCGTAATTTTACTAATTACCATTTATTGACTTGACCTCCAGACATAGCAGACTGAAAATTACCTTACAACAACAAATCACATGCAGAAGCATGAATCGTCACTTTAACATAAGATGCAACTGTGTGTTCGTATTTGATGCACTTTGATGTATCAAATGCTCTCTATGTAATGAAGTAACTGTCGGTGGGTAGCCAGAAGTGGTTCTCAAGTAAAAGCAGTATTACTTAAAAATAATATTACTCTACTAAAAAGAATAAATATGAAGCTGTAAAAGTTCAGAGGTTATTTTGCAGTGACCTCTGAAAAAGAAAAAAAAGCCTACTTGCACCCTCTTGGTCTTTAAACTGCTCAGTTACATTTACTCTAAAACTCTGGAGAAAAACTTTTATTCTAGTTGTAAGAGTTCCACAGTGACATTTATGAAAAGTGTTGGTCTATTTTTAAACCGCCTTCCAGTATGGGGAAAAAGTAGCAGTTTGCCATCTTGTCTGACCTTTTCAGGAGAAATGTGATTTAAATTGAGGACATACATTCATAACAAAGAAAGAAACCAGGAAATATACTTAACATATGAAATTATTAAGTATTTGTTCTTAGGTTATGTGTTTCTTTTGTGAATCTGTGCTGAAAATCCCTGATATAATTTAGACTTTCCTTTGTCTATTTGACAGGCTGGTCACATAAATTGTCATAAGAGCTTTTTGTTGGTTAAGACTTGTAACAAAATAAAGCCTCTTCTCCTGCCAACAATTCTTACAAAAGCCACCATAGTCCTTTAGTTCATTTCACATATGACTATAATTCCTTTCATCTCCACATGTAGACTAAAGACTCTTGTTTCTTTAGAAGTTTGCAACAAAACTTAGTAATCTGCTCATTCAAAAGAGCATAGCTGTATAAAGCTATGTAATATTGCGGGTTAGTGGCATCCTTCATTGCCGGGTAGATATTAATACTGCAAAATAAGACTCTACACAGGAATAGATCCACAAAGTACTTTAGCATCACACAACTACAGCAAGAAAGTTGATGTTGCTATAATTAAGACTATAAAACATAAAGGTAATCTTGTCTTGGCAGAGTCTGTCTAACTATGTTTTAATATTTTTGTGTTTTAAATTATATTGCTCATTTTTGATTTGTTGTTTTCAATAATGATCAATGCAACTTGTGTTATTTCACTTTGTTTTGCAGTTTCTTTTAATTTCTCATCATTTTCTTTGGTACACAATAAATGGAAGAATTTATAAGAATCTCTTGAGTTTTACCAGTGGTGCACTAACGTCTATATTAAACTAAACTAGATAAGTAAACCACAGCTGACAGAAGACCTTCATGAAATCAGTTTATTAGAAGGTAAATGATCAAGGTAAAAATTTCACCAACTTAGAAAGTGTACAACTCTTGAGGCCAGTCGGACATATGAAAGCAGTTAAAAAGCACAATAAATGTCACCATGAAAAATTACTGGGTTTTCAGAACTGTTTTCAGATTGCACAAAATGCCTGTCTTCCTGATGTTTCCCCTGAGGTCTAAAGTGAGGCTGCTGTTTGAAGCGTTGACGACATTCAATAAAATGTTGCCTTTCACTCTGTTTTCAATAATGACTTTCATCTTTGGGGAAAACTGTCACATAATACAAACCATTGACAGCTCCATAAATAATCCTGTCAAAATCTAGAATTACTTACAAAATCATTATACTCTCAGGGTTTAATAATAATAATACTCAAGATAAAAATGTTCCATTCTTAGAATCTCAGGTCTCCAAGTAATGCAGACTGGCCACCGTGTTTAAACAACTATTCAACAAATAAACATGTTACAAATCATCATTCTCAGTCTTAAAACAAAAAACAATGTTTTCCTTTTTCATTTTTTTAAGAAGGTGCACCTCATCTCATGGGTATAATAGTTATCAGTATGCCCCACATCATGCCGTAACATAATTAACTGAAAAAAGTTGCATTTAGCTTTGTATAAAAATCAGATTTAGAGTAGATTTCAAATGACTAATTTTTAATGTAATTGTTTGATGTATCAAAAAACATTATTTTTTATTGTCAACACTGTAGGTTCACGTCCCAAAGACCTCTGTGGCGTGACACACACACCAGCATACATTATGCTGGTTGTGACACCCGTAAGTGGAAATATGCAGTTTTGGATCTCGGGAAACTGAGTGGCTGAAGAAATGATCATTTGTCCCCACAAATGAAACTCAATGGTTCCCTCTTCTGGAGAAATAAAAACATATGCTGTAAGAACAGACACAGTCACAACAAAAAACAAACAGAGAAATGGATCTTCTGTCATACAGACATGAACAATATCTCAATACTTGCATGAAAGTATCAAACAAGTATTTTTAACATAGAATAAAAAGGGGTTCTGTGGATGGAGGGATTTATGCGTAAGGATCATTATGTTGTTTAATAGGATGTTGTCTGCTGTGGTCACTATCACTCATCAATGAAAAAAGTAGAAATAAACCGTGTCCACTGACCGTGTCATATCTCTAACACTTCACTGATTACACAAATTTTAATGTGAAATGTTAGAAAATCAGACTTCATTTTCAGAAAATGCCCCACTTATTCTCCAAAAGTATTTTCACACACTTTAGTTCACGCTCTAGTTCTTTTCTACTGTTTCAGGGATTCAACTCGACTCTTACAGAACAATAACCTGAAGTAAGTGATTAACTTTCTTAAACTGTTGCTGACCTTCTCTTAACACCGGTTAACTCCATATGGTTTAAGGAAGTGGACGACATCCACGCTTACAGCTCCTGTAGTCTGATCACGCTCACCCTCGGGCCACAACAGCAGCAGCACATGGTGTTGATTACTGCCCAAGCGCTGCAGTGGGTAAAGAAAAATGTGCTTTTACAATCCATTCATAACCTATAACCGCCTTGGGAACTTGTTGCTTTTGCCAAATCATGTCTTGGATTTCTAATGTCATCTGTCATTATTTTGAAACGTCCCAATTGATAAAGACAACAAACCTTTTAAAAATAAAGATATTCTGTAAGCGCCAACTTCACTGAAGATCTAATTTTCTTGCTGTTTTTAGGCAGTTTTTAAATTCTTGAACTGAAATTGGAAAGCCCTCATGAGCTCATCTGAGAGTTAAATATCTCTCCTGAAAGTTCCAGTCTTTGTGGTTTTAAGTCTACTACTGTGGTATATTTATTTTTATAAGGAGCAAAGGATATCGATAAATAATTTACTATACAATTTAGGACATTTGGTGTTTTGTTTAACAGTTGAAATTATTATTATTTTTTTTATTTAAATTGGGGGTTTTAAGGGATCAGCTCCAGTTCTTCTTGATTTATTTTTAGGTGAATAGACAATAAAAAGGTAGGATGGGAGCATGCATATTCATACGAAGATAAGAATAAGAGACTGTACAGTAAGGGCAACGTAAGAGAAGTAATACTGCTAAATAACTTTGCGACTTTCAAGCAACTGCAAAAGGTCTGACGTTTCGTGAAAGACTTTGTCCACTTCAAATCCAGTAGCAATATAAGTTTTAATTGAACATTTTTTAAATTAGTCAACATTTTAGACAATTTAGATAAAGATACAGATTTTTGTTAGATACATAAATTCTTCAATCAAGCCAAATTTTGAACTTTCTGACCAAGCTAACAAATGTAATATTTTCTTCTTTATTTGTAATACATGTATTGTTATGCTTCTTTGAGCTGCAGGTTGTTCTAAGCCTACATTCCCAGGCACACTCTGCAACATCAAATATATTCTTTCTTATTTTTACAACTTTACTTAACAGTTTAACATAGATAGTTAAACATAGATAATCTGACATCTTAAAAAGTGTGAAACCTGGCTGTCCCTTTCGGCCATCTGAATACACACACTGAAACTCTCTCAAAACATAACTCCAACCAGGACCGGTTCTGGGCCCCAGGGTCTTGGATGTGCGCGCCAGCCCTCCGGGCCGTCTGCGTGGGGAGGAGGAAACAGACACAGAGCGGATGAGGGACCGCTAGACGTCAGCACCTCTCCACATCTCCTCTGCTTCTGTTCGCAGTCAGCCAGCTCGATCTGGATCGGTGTTCAACGGGATGGACTGAAATCAGCTGGAGCTCCCTGAAAAAGATCCGCCTGCTCAATGCAGACCTCTGCCCAGCGTGTTTTTCCAATTAATGTGGCAGACAAGTTCAGGAGAAACTTGGGTGTTCCGGATACATCAGTATCTTCTTCTGCATCACTTTCAAATCCCCCTCTTTTTTTTTTTTTTTTTTTTTGCACTTTCTTTTATCGACCGATACCATTTGAGTGCGCATCGCGCCATGTCCTTCAGTCGGACTGAGGTGGACCATGAAGTTATGGGATAGCCTGACCACTTGTTTGATTCTGCTCGGTGCAGTGAGGCCCAGCTCGCTGCTCCGAACCGGACAGCAGCCGGAAGGTCCCCTGGAGGCTCCGCCGGTTCAGATCCGTCTGTCCCTTCCCTCCCCGGACATGCGCCCTGCAGAGACAGCAGGCGACCTGGACACAGGAGACAGATGTAAGAGCTCAAAGTTGTACAAAAACGCTTTGTTTTTGTACAACTATTAAATTCGATCAGCGTTCATAATTCTAAGTGTCGCTTCAATCATGAGCATCTGCGTTATAAGTGGGGTATTAAAAACATTTGAAGTAATTATTTATGCTGCAACTTTAGAGTCATAACCATTTACACTTTACTAAGTATTATTTGAAATGTGTTTGTGCACTAAATTTAATTCCTATCAGGTGTATTCCAACAAACAACAGGATTAACCTGTTTTTATGCTTTGTGGGTTCATTTTTGACATTAATGTCCTGAATTGTTATCTTGTTAAAAAATCTCAGGTTAGAAATACATTAAAAAAAACTTATTTGTTCAATATTAAACAACATTAACTGTAATTATGACAAAATTTGCTGCTCCTTTTGCACTGAGAATTGATTAAAAAATGTAGCTCTGTTTAACAAATGGATGAATTGAAGTGATAAATTAGCTGACATTTTTGAAGTTTGAAGTCTGCAAGAGGAAAACATTCCCTGCAGTAGACTGTGGACCATATTGGTGTAGGTCAGCAGGTTAAAAGGCTCGCTGAAAGGAATGGGATCTTGGATCAAGTCCAGACTCTTAAGGCTTCCTTTTTGCAGTTCTATTTAAAAGAGGCTTATTTAATGTTTTTAAGTCTTTGATCATTAAAAATCTACCCACTTTTAAAAGCCATTCAAATATCCTTTTGACCAAAACATTTTAAATGAAGTAATCACTTTAATTTGTATTCTTGAATCTCATTTTTCCATTATACTCACATATTGCCCACTGAAGACGTGTGATCTCAAAGATTTGGGAAACGAACAAAAAAGAGTGTTATGTCTGTGGGCTTGTAGAGCCCACAGCATTGTACATGTAGCAGATGTTCAGAGGAACCTTTTATGTTTTATTATGTTTAGATTTTAATGTGTTTTGGTCAATTCAATCCCTAAAATACATAGTTACTCTATATGCTTCATAGCCTCTCCAAACAATCACAGCAGGGTCAATCCCCTAATCCATCAAAGGGTCAAGACAGAGTCAATGCCATAAACACAAACACTCAGTTTCAAATATATTCCTAGAATCACCAGTTGCATGTTTCAGATTGCATGAGGAAACTGAAGACCCCAGAGAAAACCTTAGCATTTACAGGAAAACATGAGAAGTGCGTAAAGAAAGTTTCATACAGACGGGAACCAGAAACATTCTTTAGGTCACCACAGCATTGACTCTATATCAGGCTCTTACTCAAATGACGTATCATGGCTAGTTGTTTTGAAGAACATCCCAAACTGTAAAATCAACAAGCTTAGGCAGCACAAGAAACAGAAAAAGTAAAAAGAGTGTGGGGAAGCGTGGGTGGTAACAAGAGGGAATCCTGGGAGGCTAAACAGCAGGGAGTGGACAGACGATCTGGCAACCACTGAAGGACACTGATGGGACTAAAAGGCAAAAATGAGAATGATAAAGCAGCCAAGTCTACTGTGAACACAAGAACCCATTGGAAAAATTTAAATGAAAGCAAATGAAATGAAAGATGCAAAACCATAAAATGAAATAAAGAATAATAACAATAGTCTTTTCCTGGTTGGATTGCCATGTATGGCTGACATATTTTCACGACAGCACATTTCAATTCAAAGCTGTCTTGCCGATAGTCATGAATAGATTCCATTTATAAAGTAAATGAATCTCTTGGAGTTTAATTCAGCGGCTGAATAAAACAAACAAAAAATAGCAGAAAAACACAACATATAGTTTTAATAACTAACTAGGGACAAGTTCTGTGAAGCATAAGTCATGTTGGTGATTCTGACATTTTTGGTTATCTGTTTCAGACAACATGGAGGAGCTTATCCAGAGTAATAAAAATGTTATGGACTTTATCAAAATAGTGGTCAGCAGAGTCCGTCGCTCCTCTGCAAAGCCTTCATACACCTCCACCTCCTTTTCTTCTCACCTCAGCGAAAACTGGATCAGGACTCGACACAGAAGGGAGAGAAATAAGGGAGCAAGGTTGACAAAGGACAAAGAGAGGAGAAGAGGAACTAAAGGAGAAGAAATGAGCAGGAAGAGTGGAAGACGAGGAGGCGGTGGACGAGCTCAGGGCTGCGTGCTCAGACAGATTCACCTGAACGTGACAGACCTGGGCCTGGGCTACAGCTCCAGTGAGGAGATGATATTCAGGTACTGCTCTGGACCCTGCAGAAAGTCAGAAACCAACTATGACAAAATCCTCTTCAACCTGGTCAACAAGAGGAAGCTCCCCGTCAAAGACACGCCCCTGCAGGCCTGCTGTCGGCCAATCGCGTTTGACGATGACCTGTCATTTCTGGATGACAACCTTATTTACCACACTGTGAGGAAACACTCGGCCAGGAAATGTGGCTGTGTGTAGAAGAATCAAGGTGACTGAATTTGTTTCATTCAAAACAAGGTGTTTAGTGGTGTTTTTCTTTACTCTTTAATGTGAAAACTGTTCTGCAGTGTGGTTATGAAGGAATTCCTGCAAACTTCCAGACTTCAAGTGTTTTTTTTTTTTTAATGATTCATTTCTACTTTATTTCTCCTTACAGTTTTTAATATTTATCAAAGAAAGAACTGCCTTGCAATTATACCCTATGGAATATGTCAGTCAGATATGAAATGTAATTTATGAAATGAAAACTGTTTTAACTTATTGATATTTATTACACTTTTATAGAGGAATAAATGTTATTTATTGCTGTGAAGGAATTTCAGACCTTGATAAAAGTTAAAGCATTCAGAGATCATGTTTAAGGTTTGTTGTACATGTCCTGCAAGGTCTTGGATGCAGCTTTACACTTTACATCATCTGCATATCAGTCTGATGTACATAAATAGGAAGTAAAATTATCACTTTAAAACAACACAGAAATGTTTTTTTTTATTTACTTTTACATGTTAAGCAATAAAGTAAAGACACAATGTTTTATTGAAACAAAGAAGTCTGAATTTTGTTGAATAGGGGTCTGTAAATTGTTGTTTCAAAACAAAAAAAAATGGTCTCACACATCAGTCTTATTAAAAGAAAAGCATGGGTCTACCATTGCTTGAATCTGAACTTTAAAAAATGTAGAAATAAGTAAGATTGCATCTGAGTTACAAAACGGCATATTAAGCGGAATAAACACTTTTCAAAATAAGCATTTTTCAATGTTAAACTTATTAAACTAATATTTACTGTAGAACAGGGTAAATTATTCCCAGTTGCTTCAACAGATTAAGCAGAAAGAAATTATCATTAAAACAACAAAGCTTGTTTACACTCCAGAAATCGTGCTTTTACATAAACTAGACGACATGTTTGTGTCCCGTACATTTTTTATTTCATGCCTGTTCTACATTCAGTAAAGTTACTTAAAGTGGGTAAAGCATCAAGAAATTATGTTCAAGTTAGAGTAGCGATGCTTCGTTGCATTCAAATGTACGGTTTGCTAAAACTACTCCTACTCCTGTGCTGTTTAATATTTTCTTTCTCTCTGATAGGACAAACCCAAATAAAGTGTTTGCTTAAAAAAGTTTAGTCAAACCTGACCAAACCGCATGTCTCCGGTAAAAGTCTCAGCAGTTTGTGAAGCAAACTCGAAACATTTCATTTGCAGTAACAGAAAAAGTTTTTTTTTGTTGTTGTTTTCCTTATGTTTTGTTTCTTGCTGCCATTCATTTTCCCAAATGAAACTAATCAAATCAAGAGTTTTTTTGTTTGTTTGTTTTTTTCACTTATTAGATGTGGAAAAAATACATTCGTAATGGCCCCCACTGTAGAATGTGTGTCCAAGATGCTATTTTCAGAGAACGGATGAAAAAATGAACAATCACAAGTTTTTCCTGTCCTGCGCTTTTGCTGCTTTTGTCTTCAGATTTTCTGCCAACACCATGTAGAAATTACAGCAGTTCTTTAGGAAGCATTTAAGTACACTAAATTACCAGTTTAGTGTACTTAAGAAGAACTTATACAATTGAAAAAAAAATTTAATCCTTTGCAGAGGGCATTTTGATTATATTTACATTATTTGATCATTTATCTTAATTTTTGGTAAAGTGGATTATCCATTTTTCAGATATTTTCAAACTGGATGACTGAAACATTAAATGATTTATTCTTGTATCTAAAACCAGTTTTATGTAGAGAAAGATTGACTTTCCTTGTAAAGGCAATCTTTGCAAGGAAATGTTCTTCTTGTAAACAGAGTTGCACTTCAATTTCAAATAGTAGCAAAGTAAAGAACTGAAGTTGGAGAAGAAAGGAGGGAAAATTTGAAGTCAGTGAAAATGTGGCAAACATCCAGAGATGACAATGAAGACAACAATGTTGGAACTGGAGCTGTCTCTGACTTCAATAATGTGTGGTACTTGATCTGCTTTTGCTCTCTCACATTTCCGTCTGCAGTCTCCATAGCTTTGAGTCAACACTACCTCATTCAACAACTTAGTTGTTTTCTTTACAAGACACCAAAAATTCTGGTTCAGACTAATTTTGTGTTCATTTCAGTACCAATGCATTTTGATTTTATTTACCACATTGTATCAAGGTTTAAACAGTCAAATCTTAAAAACATGCACATTTGTGTGTGGAGCAAAGAGTGCAGATGTCCACATGCCATCCCTCTGCAACATCTTTGCAATGTTTTAGAACTGTGATGAGCATGAATATGACTTATGCTTCTATAATCTTTGGCTAGATGTGGACATATAACAAAATACAGAGAAGTACAACAAAAACAAGAGAGTATAACATTTAAAAATATAACAACCACAGAATTAAGCTAAAAATAGAGTCCTAATAACACAAAACACTTTGAAACAAGGTGGATCTTCATGTCTGATTTAAAAGACTCAGAAGGCCGGTGCATCCAGGCCTCCGGCAGCAAATTCATATGTTTTTATGTTTTTACAGTTATGTTTTTAGTTAGGAGCGAGAAACAACAGGACTTGATTAGAAGACCTGGAAGAAGAGTGGAAGAAGTTAAAAGTGGGAGTCTGATTGTTTATGATTTTATAGATAAGACAGAAGGAAGAGGGAGGGTGATAGAATAGTGAAATGGGATTTTGGAAAGCTGTCTTTTGGGCCACCTGTAAATGAGAAACAGAATGTTGGCTTAAGCAGATAAACAGAAATTGAGATTTTTCAAGCATTCATAAATTACAGCTTCTTACTGCAGGAAGGTTAACAGAGGATGTGCTTGTTAGACAAAAATAGCTGGAGTCAATTCACTCAATGTGTCTTTTTGTCAACTATCCGTCCAAAATGTCAACTAACGTTTCAGTTTCAGGAGACAATCTTATTGTATTGTCTAGAAAGCCAACGATTCTGTCAAAACCAGAATAGCACTTTCACCCAGTTTTAACTGAGAAAGTTTAAGACATCTGGATGTTGATATTAGCTAGACAATTCAGAAACACAGTTATGGTAGAGGCTTAATGGAAAAGCCTATTACAATCATACATGAATATCATTTCATATTATTCCTTTCACATAACTACAAAATAGCATAATATGGTATATTTATTATTATTATTATTATTATTATTATTATTATTATTATTATTATTATTATTATTATTATTATTATTATTATTATCATCATTATTATTATTATGCAGTAATAATAATGTTGTTTTCTTAGCATCATCTTCTTTACAACATATTATTTCAACAACAGTGGTTTCAGCCAGAGGTTTCTTCAGATTATTATAATTATAATTCCTATAACATCTAATTTCCATTTAGGATTAATGTTGTATTTTTGAATTAAACTTAATATAAAGAACAAGTCTATAAAAAACATCAATAAAAATACAGAGCTGAGGTACTATGTTTTCAGAGGGAGTACCAACAAAGCAACACTGTCACAATCTAAATGTAACTTGCTTACAAGTTGTTTTTTCTAAAATCTTTGGTGCAAAGGATTTACTGTAGAGAAATAGCTTTTTGTAAGCAGAACTAGAGTTCACAGCAGAACTATGAATGAAATAAAACTTAATTCCAAGTTTCGGCTGCTACTGGGCCCAATACTGAAAGGATAAATCACAATACTGTCACCTATTGCTCCAGGAAACCATGAGAGCCAGTCAACGCGTAGTGTCAGTTTCAGATGAGTCTTCTGTCCCTTTGTTCATGGCGACAGAGGAGCTTGTAATGAAGGCTAGAGTTTCTCTGTTTGACACTGAAGGGATGATGTTCCAGACAGGTGCTAAATACTGAGAGAACTGGATTAGTTCACACTTTGTTGTTTTAAAAAGATCTAAGTCTCTTGTGCATGTTCAACTCCTTTGTGTTTGTTTTTAGATTTTCAAGCTGGTAAAAATAAAGTAAAATAAAGTTTCAACAAATCATTTGTTTCATATTGTCAGTTTAATAGTCAATTATTATGGGTTATGATAGCAATTAGTTCCTTATTGAGGCCCCTGTAAATATTACAAAAAGTACCTTCTCAGATTAATTCGTCTCCAGAATTTTTTTATAAATTTTAATAAGGCTACTACAATGTCGTTGACATTATTTAGAGGGATGCTTTTGCATTGCTGAACCTTTTTGAAAATGTCACACTGTAGATAGGTTTGTTGTCAGTACGTTTTGTTTTTGAACTAATTTTCTAAAATCTGTTTGACTTCTTATTTTGTGAAAACTGTTTATGCTGTAGGGGTCCAAGGCTTGAATCCAAGCCTGAAGTACTTTGGATGCTTTTCCTGTTGATGCTTTTTGTTTTTTGTTTTGTTTTTCTCTCCTGAAAAATACTATGTCATCCAGCCGTACTACACACAAAGAAACATGCATGTTCAGTTGAATGGCTAATCTAAACAGCCCTCAGGTCACAGTATGTTTGTACATAATCATCTGTGTTACACCCTTTTCCTCATTTAGTGGAGATAGGAAACACCTGCGAGGAATAAGTAGGTATAGAAAATGGATGGACGGATGTGTTGTTCTCCTTTCCTATCTCACCTGATCATGACTACTAATCAGCACACCTGTCTCACATGCACTCATTACCTCCTTTGTTCTATATGTCTCTTGGCTTGTTTACTCTTTGACCATCTGTCATCTTCGTCAGCTGTCTTGGTTGGTCTTTTCAAGTTCATGTTTGTCAAGTTTAGTTGCTATTGCCAAGTCAGAATGTGCTGGCTGCACTCTGCCTTCGTTCTCTATGTGGGTCCTTCACCTAATGGCCTCATTTTTTTTTCACTTAAGATCAATATCTATGATCTCACAAAAGGAAAATGACTGGAAAAAAATTATATCCATTAGAGCTATCAAAGGCCAAAACCACTGTTAATCAAAAATTACACAAAGATTAGTTTCAAGTTTACCAAACCTTTATAATTATTATTTTTTTTGGTAAAATATAGTGTTGAAGAGAGTGACAAATCTGGCCCAGCCATTCGTTTGTGACGAATGGCTGTTCACTTAAATCCACCCCTGAAGGGCTCAAACACACAGAAAAAGAAACACATAAATTCAAGAGTAACCTGGTGAAAGTTCATTGTTA